AATCCGCTGAGGTTAAAGAACAATAGCTTTAATTTGCACAAGAAAACAACAAACTCAAGGATTCTGGTAGTTGTAGTAAAATGACGTCGTCGTGCAATTGTCCGATTGGTCTTTTTATACTTTTTACCGTTTAAACTTTTTCGCAAATCATTAAGGTTGCTGTTTTTATAGCAAAACTGTTTCGAACTTTAATTTCACATTATTAAACCCTTGGCGACGGATCTAGTGGATCTGGTCAATCGCTTTCTATTTGGAACGATGCAAACTATTTATTTCTGAACCATTTATTAAGCTCCATATTTTAAGTGATTACTGGATAGCGGCGAATTCAGGAAGGATAGATCCTTTTCACAGATACCTTAGCTTGAAATTCTGGTCAATCCTGCCAATTTTACACAAAAAACGTAAAAACATTTTGGGGAAAATCCTCAACCAATTTCGCTATTCATCAACTACTCGTTTACCGTACAAAACTTTATACTTTCCTGGAACGTAATGTTATTAATAAGATGAGTGTCCCTAACCTCCTAGGTTCACGTTGCTCGACCCACTTAGAAAAATAATCTGAAATTCTTGTCCAGAACAGTCTGATGTCGATTTACGTAATTATGTAGAAGCTAAAGTTATAAAACAATTATTCACCGAAGAGGAGGTGGCACGTGTGGCTAAGTATCTACCGAGGCCGCGTATTTACTAGCCACCGACACTGAGGTGAATAATTGTTTTAGTATATACTAAAACAGTGAGATCATTGAGCTCAAAAATGATGATTTTAACTCATTTACTGTTGCCAACGATTAAAATTTTGGCGCGCTATGACCGAACGGCCGCGGTCGTCGCTTTTCCTGGCGACAAATAAAACTTTTGAAGGCGTTTGTCTAAACTCTTACGGGAAGTTTCTTCAAAAGGAGTTGTGAATTCTTTTAGTATTTAAAATGATTCTGTAAAAAAGATTATTAAATTTAGTTTTAAGCTTATTTATGAACAAGTCAACTAAATAAGGTAACGCAAGACTTAAGCGTAATTTGCATTTGTAAACAAAAAAACTTTTTCACCGGTTTTATCAATAAATTCAAGTCAAAAAGACAAAGCTTTACCTGTTTGAACTTCCAACCGAACTTCGTTACCTTCTTCATGTATTTTGGGAACAGCCTGATTCATTGGTTTTGAAATTTCTTAGTTTGTTACGGCAGCAAACCGAGAAGGCATGCGCATTTTGCTCGCAACTTACGCGAGTTTGGCGTCGCTCGCTCGGAGGAACTGGAGGTGAATCAGTGAACAGTGCAGGATATTCACTAGTTTTCAGCTTCGTTCCAGACCTTTTGTTCGACTGTTCGCGTACTTGAATACGCAAAAATACGGACTGTTCTGCAGTCTAGATATTCACTGATTGAGTAGCCAATCAAATCGCGCGAAAAACACTATCCACTGTTTTAGTATATACTAAAGTAATTTATTATCTTTGGGATTTAGAATATTGATTTTCTAATATATCAAGCGCATTCTTATGTTCCAGTGTAAACTTGTTTCTAGCAAATTATTATCCTTATATTCAAAACATGTAAATAGCAAAATTAGGTCTTCCAGTGCAAAGTGCTTTTGATCACATGTAAATTAAGCACTGTCGAAATAATGTACAGTCGAACCTCTCCTTACGGACACCTCTCTACTACGGACAGTTTTTTTGGTCCCATAAATGCCAAAAATCCTTCATTCCCTACCTCTATAATACGGACACCTCTGTAGAGCGGACATTTGGTTTTGTCCCTTTGGCGTCCGTATGAAAGAGGTTTGACTGTATTGTCGACATTACCGTTACTCGTGTATAGGAAAAGAAAGGCAGATAATTTGTCAGTAAACAGTTTAAAAGGTTTTGAACAGCCAGGGGCCAACAAAGAGCCATGCACCTGCAAACTGCGTCCAATCTAAGTCATAATTTATGACATAGCAATATTTTCATTACTGCAAATAGTGTCGTCCATTAACAACCACACCGGGATATATCTTAAAACTAATACATCTCATCTAGCCGGTTTACGGGTCGCGGATAGGATAATATTCCATTGAAAAGTCAAAAAGTGTCAAATGTTTTTAGGAAACAGGTGTTTCGGGTATATAACTCTAGCTTCTTCAGTATCAAGAAAACCGTTATTATTACGCCTCTTGGCAATTGTCATAGACATAACAATGAGGCGCGAGCACGTGTAAATTATAGCGAGCGCAGCTGAAATTGATATTTAGTCCTTTAGGTTTGAAGGGTTCCTAGCTGCAAGAAAACCCTCAATTCACGCTGCTTGGGTTGGATGTCGGTTCCACAGCATAGAGCCATCCCCGGCGGGTAGTTAAAATTTTGCGCCACAGGAAGCTCAGGAGTGTTGTTGCGCATGCGTATACAAACGTTCGCCAAAACGACTCCTGAGGTTTCGTTCAGTTTCACCAATGAAAAGAACTTGGCATCGGCGGCAGGATAAACAAGATTCCCTGATTGGTTAGAATGTGAAAAAAATGCACTTTATTTGAGTGTCAATGTATTTAGTACTGAAGTGCTAATTGGGGACACTATTTTTTACTTCTCTTACTGGAGACGGGACCGCCATTTTACGTGGTCATCCGAGCCACGCGAAAGTCTAGCCGCTTGCAATACAAAAGTAGTACCTTCATTTCTCAGTTATTTTAAGACGCTGAGTATTGGTCAGGCCCCGGGATTCGAGCCCGCGACCTCTCGCTCTGCAGTCACACGCTTTACCGACTGAGCGAACACTGCCGCGGTTGAAAGTTCTGTGGTAGAAATCCTTTGACTTCGGTGCTAAACGAGTGGCATACGAGATCAAGACGCACCCTATCAACGGTTGCGAAACTCTGTTGGGGATGAGTACAGCACGTCATGACGGTTAATAGTTGCATTGTTGATATGAGTTAGGCCGGTGGGTTTTCTGGTCATTGTTAACAAAAAAAAATGCCCCAACATTATGGAGAGAAAGAATTGTAGCCAACAAATACTGAAGGTTGTAACAATTAAAAACACACCTTGCCTTTTTGTTAAAGGAAGAACGTTTGTTTTAGAACTTCCTCTTTTAAGTTCGATCGAGAAGTCAATGATATAGAAAACGCATATTTTATGCATACGTGATAACATGCATTTATGGTTTTGCCTTTAATTCCTGTTTAGCCTGGGCTTAATGTCTTAAAGGCAGCTACGCCCCTGCTTCCTGTATTTAACTGCTAAATAATGTTATTTTATGATTGTATATACGTATTTTTAAATTGGCACTTAAGGTCTCGGTAAATGAAAATTTTAGTACATTGCTCGATTTTGTTTTTTTTTTGGAATTTTGGCATGAGTGGGTCCTAAATTTTATTTTGGCAGAAAAAGAAAATCAGAAAGTGCTTTTTAACCCTTCTAAAATGAGCTTTTTCTGATCTAACCAGCCAAGCGTGGACCTCGCGCTAAATCTTTAGAGCTGATTTTCTCTCACTCTATTTTTTGACGCAAAAATCAAAATTCTCCGACCTCCAGTCGGGACAGGTTTTAAGCTATCGCTTTGAAACTTTCAGATATGATGGATAATGATATAGACTCAAAAAGGGTGTGAGGAATTTTCCGATTTCCCTTTGTAACTCATTTTATGTCAGTTTCTTTGCGTAAATCGCGCTCGAGATTCGACAATTTAGTTTGAAATGCAATAATTCCGCCAATACGAGACATATGCAAATTTCCTCACACCCTTTTTTGGGTCTTTTATCTGTCAATCAGATGCAATAAAAAGGAAGTGAACATTTAACAACGCGAAAGGGCTGGAGCTTCAGCAGTAAACTCGATACCTCTGAGTTCGAGAGCAAAAAACTTAAGCGCCTTTTGAAATTCGATGAAATAAAATATTTTATAAGGTAATTTAGTCTTTTAGCTTTAATTTGATATATAACTTGCCTTTGTAGCGAAAATACTCGCGCGACTAGAATTTTTTCTGTGGGCACCTCGTTTTCCTTTACCGAGACCTTAAGCACATTTCCAGTTATGGGCTTATCTGCATTAGCAGACAAATTAGGCATTTCCGTTGAAACATCTAAAACAAACATTTTTGGGCGGATATTTTTTAACTTCTATTCTCGGTTTTCACATGACGTCACCATAATTCAAACTAAGAAACTATAGCTTCTTCTGAGTTTCTACTTTCGTGTGATATTAGAGCACCCTTAAAACCTTCATACAAACAAATTTTCGGTTCAAAAGGGTTCTTTGTTTTGCGATACAGGACGCTTGAATTTCTAGGCTTTTGCGTGACGCGTCATTTAACTAGCGGCCGGGAAAGCTCTTATGTGGGTTAAAAACATTACTGATTTTTGGAAATTTTGCTATCTAAACATTCCTTATCTTAAAATAAATGTTACTTTAATCTTTATGCGTTCCTCAAGCGAAGAATTCAGGCATAAGTAGGAAAACTCAAAAACAGATGTTTCTGTTGGTTTCCGGTGCCCTTGAAAGGGACACAAACATGGCGTCTCCATACAAAGCTTTATAAATTTGGGTAAAACGTTTTTCCGAATATCTCGCATATGAACTGTTGCATAGACCTGATTCTTTGCAAGGCTTTTTGTATATTTATCTTCTTTCATTTCCCAGATTCTAGACTTTCTGTATTAATAGGTTTCCGTTTTTGGAAAAAGACAAAGTTCTAAAAAAAGCGCAATAAACCATCCGCATCATTTGTTTTGCGCTAATGATGACAGAAAATTTGTCTCAATTAATAAACAACTTTTTCGTTAATGAAAAAAGCCCTATCTTTTTCATCGATTTCTTAATACTCTGGTTGGCTTAAAGTCAGTTGATAACTGACACCATTATACAAACTCGCTTTAAGCAGCTGTGCTGAGGCTTCGCAGGGGGCTTACAATTGCCAATAAAAGTTTTGAATCAAACAGGATACGCAATACACAGAGCAGTAGTTCAAAGTCACTTGACTGCATACGTACAACTCCACAGATACGTCGCAAACCTAACCATGAACTCAACGGTGAACGGATCCAGCGAGTCTTCGAGCTGCTTTGCTTTGTTATATTCCACTGCGTCAAAAATCGGAGTAACCGTTACCTACTGTCTGATCTTTATTGTTTCACTGGTCGCAAATTCGCTCATCGTTACGATCGTTTATAAAACGCCGAACTTAAAAAAACCGATAAATTATTTCATTGCAAACATGGCCTTTTCTGATATTCTGTCTGCAATATTCTGGATGCCTTTGAACCTGTCACTCGTGCACACCAACTCCTTACTTATTGGTGGTCAGCTTGGCCAGGCCTTGTGTAAGCTTGTCTTTTTCTTTGGTAACGTTTCCCTTTTCGTTTCGATACAGAATCTGATTCTGATTGCGGTGGATCGATTTGGGGCCGTGGTGTTTCCACCCGTTCGCCACTCATCAGATCCAAACTAAGTCCCTTCTTCATTCTTGCCACGTGGATAGTGGCCGTAGCTATCTCTTCGCTATGTTTGATCGCCGGCGATATCGTTGATTCCCCAGGGGGAACCTCGTGTGTTATGAAATGGGAGAAAGTATTCGGAGAATCATTGTCCTCTGCCAGTATCGTACTAGCTCACGACATTCTGCATATATACATCCCTGTGCTGTTGTTAGCTATTGTTTACTCCATCATCATTACGAAGCTCAAGACACAGGCACACCCAGGTGAACAGTCCGCCAACACTCAGCAACAGCGGAAAAGAAGAAACAGAAACGTGCTTCAAATGTCCATTGCTATCGTATTGTAACAGTGTTTGTATTTTGCTGGTTACCATTCTCTATCAACGTTTTAATCATAGCGTATAAGGACAGGTCCACGCATAAGTCGTGTAGTTTCTGGCTATACTTCACTGTCACCGCTGATATGTCTAACGCATACTATGCTATCAACCCGATTATCTGTTTCATTTTTAGCAGTAATTACCGACAAGCTCTTAAAAGAATTATAAAATGTTCTTCTGCACAGGCGTAGGTCGCAAAATGTGCTTTTGGTTGAAGATGTTAAGAGTTAGAGGTTTGTAGAACACGCGTGAATAAATGTGTCATGACTTTCAGTGTATTTTTAGTAGTGAAAATTATCGAAAAGGTCTAACTTAAAAGACTCATGAACTGTTCTTTTGAACGGGCGTAAGTCACAGACAATAATGTGCTTTTGATTGAATATGTTAAGATTTAGAGGTACGTGAAACACTCTTGAATAAAAAAAAAATCACCACGATTTCCTTTGGCTTACTTAACTGAGGATTAATAAAACTGAGGTGTTCATTTTAAGTCTGCCATGACTGCGAAAAGTGACAACATAGGCCACGTATTGTAAAAAGGTTGGGTGGTGAATAAATCTGAGGGACGGACCATTAGAAAAGTTATTGGGAGCGTAGAAGGCGATATTATACAACTGCACAACTAACAACTGTTAATTAATGAAGAACCGCTCCAAAGTTAAAGAAAGAGGTTCTCCCGAAAAAAAGAAACGAATAAAACGGACAATTACGAACATCTGGCTTTTGAAATTTTAGCGCCACCCCGAGGACTGACAGCATTTTTGCGTCGTCAAAAGAAGCAAAGAAAAAACTGCATGCTTTTGTGGCACGTACGCCGTTCGCCCATTGGGCAAAACTGATACATGAACCAAGAAGTAAAACAGGAGTTTAAGCGGCAAGGCGTTGTGTTTCCCACAAAATAAATCAAATGACATTGCCGGTTTCATATGTTTTTATAGACATTTTAATTTTTGCTTGATAAATTTTGATGTCATGTGGAAATACTCCCTGATACGCGAAAATTGCAACACGTTTATTGTACTAAATTCGACGATACTTTCAATTTCCATGCATGATATTGAAAAAACTGATACCGCCTTTTCACTCCATTGATACCTCACGATATGTTTCCTGGTCAGCATTGCACTTCATTGCATTTCAGGGACTTATTTGTGAGGTTGCAGTATTACACTGAAAATGATTCTTAACAGTTCCGACCATTCTACAATTTCTATCACCGCCCCAGTCGTATTCACTTTAACTAATTGCCCAACGCAAGAGGGAAAAACACAGGTTTTAAATCGCGTAACATCATTTATTTTAAAGTTCAAATACAGGAACAAAGTTTGATAATTCTGACAGGAAAGCGTGCAAAGTTGTGTCAGTTGATAAACCTTACTCTAAAAAGTGTTCGAACATGATGACAATTCATTCAAAGAAATATACAAGGTACAGTTGCAAGGTTGATTAAAATATTCAGAATGAGTGATTTCAATCAAATGATAATGCCCCTTTAAAATGTTTTTATACACATTTTGTCGCTTTATAAATTTTGTTCACCTGTGTTTAAGTACGTAAAGGGCGTATTTCTACTTATTTCATGAATCACACATTTTCTTTTGTTATTCAACATCCTTTATTTAACTTACATACTTCATGAATATTTAACTACTGAAAGTCCGGGGAGGGCTTGATAATGTAGCAGGGAAGAGCGGGGCTGATGAATTGAATAAATTGCTAATTATAAATGCAAGGGCAATATCTATATAAATACCCGGTATTTATCTGTATATTGCCCTGCTGCCCTGGGCAATATACAAATAAATCCTTTCCATTTATAATGAGCAATTAAAGCAAATCATACACGTCCTTTGACCCCGCCAAACATTCTGAGAAAATTTCTCCCTTTAACACAAATATAGAAATTTATTCTGCAGCTATAGAAAATACAGTAGTATCCCATATGTCATGCAGACTATGTGTTCACTCTAAGAAAATTTTCAGTCTTTGGAAAATTTCGTCGTCACTTACACGCTTCCAGGTTCTTTCTTCTTGAGAATTTCCAAAACAAACTTCCCAAGCAAGTAGTCAAGCTGCTCATTAGCGACTTTCTTAATGTCAGGATTGACTTCGTAGTATGTCTCTTTGCTGCTATTCTTTTTAACTTTTACATTGCGTTCGACGGCCCATTCCTCCCTGCAACGTACCGCCCATGAAGTATTAACTTTCGTGTTTGCCGGTATTCTGGACTCTCTTCTCTTCTCGACTTCGTTATCACAAACAACAACGATATTACGCCCAGGATTTTTTTTTCTTTTCGACTTCAACACTATCTCGTTCACTTACTTCTCTAAAGTCTCCCACTAACTCTTCCAAATTCAACTCAGGGGAAAAAGGCTCCTGAGAGAAAGTATTTTGCGTTAGGAAAACTTCGTCGTCACTATCCATTGCCGCTCCCACAAGTGTACTGGCCCCCCAAAAAATACCAAGACAAAAATAAAAACACAAAAGGTTTGAAATTTGATTGTTGCCGGCTTAGCAAACAAACAATGCGCTATTGTTCTCCGTTTCTCACCTAAGTGAGAACAAGTGGTTTGAACAAATTATGACCCGTGAAACTCCCTCTCTCGATGCTGTGTGAAAACCTTTACAATACTTACAATGAAATACGTCATTGTCTGCGGTCGGATCAAAAAATGACAAACAAACAGATGTCAAAAACAAGTGGCCAGTTATTGCCCTGTGAAAGACGACCTTTATGTTACCTATACCTCATGAATAATATCATGAAATAAGTTAGATAAACCCCTCGAACGTCGGTATTAATCCATATATATGGATTAATACCGACGTTCTCGAGCTTTATCTCTTACATGCAAATAATATGTATCACACCAGTTTAAAATGTCCACTTTAATTGGTTATCCAAATGGCTTTAATTTAAAATAGCATTCATAATAATAAACGTTAATATAAACGTTATAAATGACTCAAATTATTCTTAAGTGGCGTCATAATCCTGCTTAATATCATATTTCGAAGCTAGGAAATTTTGGTGTATTTTCGATCTTGGTATCTTTAAAACTAACCCGTTTTCTCACCACCTGTCTAAGTGTAACTTCATTCAAAATTTGGACTTTTAGCGCTTTCTTGTATATCTCTGAAACGACTTTTTTCGACTCGAACGAATTTTTTTAAAATCGCGTCACATAATCTTCATACTGTATATAATAATGCCTCACAGAAACTTTCATTGAGATTGATTCACTGCAACACCTTGAAATTTCAAGACAAACCTATCCTACTAACCGGCCAAAAATCCGCGCTACAACATTCACTGTTTTGACGTTATGCTAATTTTTCCAAATTAATGCGGACAGTACATATATCCGTGACTAGAAAATTTCAGTGTGAGTATTGTCAATGTCTTACATTCAAAAGATGCGATAAATTTAAACTAAAATGTACTAGTCATGGAGGTATGTAAAGTGCGCATTATAGTGCAGAGATTGTTTGCTAAACACCAAACTTTAAGTTCCTAGTGTTGGATTTTCAGTAGCTGGTCTAGATCACAAAAATTCGGTTTTTATCAATTTTATTGTTGTCATATTAATATCGATTTTACACACATTTCAATCCATACCCAATTACTGGTGAAAATTTTATAGCGAACGGACAAGGAAAACATTCCCTTTTAAGGCGATTAAAAAATACCAGTATGGCCTCTGAAAAACTGTATCGAAACACCTTAATAACAACTATTGTTTTCAGGCTTCTCAAGGAGATATAAAAATCAAAGTTTGAAAAGTTTGAATCTTAACTGATTGCCGCGGTGAATATTAATTGCGTTGTACAGAAGGAGAGCAGCGAGCATAAAACTCGCGAGTGGGGAATGGATCGATCCAGTCTTGGAACTGCTTCAAACAGTTTACCGAGAAAAGAAAGAACTACAATAGTGATAAATTGCTAGTGTTCGTAGTTAAAAAAATAAATTCCTGCGCTCTTGATTAAAAGACTCCCTGCAGGATCATTCTTTAACGGTCCCCAAGTTACACTTTCTCGTGGGGCTAAGAACTACATTTATTTAAAAAATGTTCTTGTCGTTGCATTTTTACTACCTATTTGACACAAATTCAACATACGTTTTGAAATGGGCGTTTTGAACACATTAGAATAAACTAACAGCTCTACACTAGTGAAGAATCTAGTAATTGTAATGATAATGAACACAATAATAACTTCATAACAAATACAATCCTGGTATGTACATGTACTGATTTAAGCGATGAAATTGTAAGCAACAGAGGTTATAGACTTCCAAAAAAGTCCTTCGTCCGATTTCATTCGCGAGGGCCATCTAAAAGGGGATGCTCTTCAGTGGTTACTGTATGATATTGTTTAAATTTTGTTTAGAAACCAATTCTTTGTTCTCTCTCTTTGCTTTCCTTGGTTTTATATTTACTGGACAACCGAAGCTTGAAAGTGACATTTAAGAAAGAAAATCGATTTGACAAAGTAAATAACTCGAAGGTTCAATGTTAATGAGTTTTTCCTGGCCAATTACAAGACTTACTCAAGCATTGATATGAGTTTTAAAGCGTTTGAGTCACTCTGGTCATTGTAAAAAGGATTGCCACAGCGTTATCGAGCAATAAAATTGTAACCAACAATTCGTAACAATTAAAACCAGTCAAAGAAGTAACAAGCTTCGTCTATTTGTTGAGTAAGAACCTGCTAGTTTCCCTTTGCCGACAGCACACTCCTGGTTTTATAAAGACCCGTTTTTAGAGCGATCGAGAGATAAATGATATAAATGAAACTGCCTGCTTCATGCACACATGATAGCAGGCATTTATTTTTGCCTCATATTTTCCTGTTAAGCCTGTTAATTGTTTAATGGCAGGCAGTTTCTCCCCTGCTTCCTGTGGCAGCTTACCGGCCAAATTGTCTACTTTATGATCGTATTGCTAAAGATAACATTTGACACACCTGTTTAAATTGGCATTAATCACGTATTTTCGAGTTTGTTTTCAATCGTTTTCTCACCGTAGCTACATGACAGGTACACGCAGGCTGTACTTTGATGTTACCATGTATGCGGCTATTTCGAGAAAGGTTGTCTGAAAACATCTGCATGCGACAATCCCGAGAAGGTAATATGGGATATGATCAATACACTGTTCCTGACACCGTAGCTGTCGAACCTACTTTCATTCAGTGCCCTCCTTAAGCACTCGCAAACATACGTCTATGGCCCGTCAAATTTCTTTAAAGAACTGTCAGAACTCAAAATTACCCATAATACTTTTCGGGACTTTCGCTTGCACTTTTTCCGAAACGGCCTTTCTCGAAATAGCTGTATGTCTAACGCGTACTGTGCTAGACTGCGAGCAGTCCCTCTTCAGTCAGTCGAGTCTAAGCTCGGCAGGACTGGAGAGAGCGAAATGGCCGAGTGGGAAACTGGAGAGAGGCTTCGCAGGGGGACTTACAGTTGTCAATATAATTTCTGACTCAAACAACATACGCAATATACAGAGCAGTAATTTAAACTTTCTTGACTGCATGTGTACAATTCCGTAGGTACGTCGCTAAGTTAAGCATGAATTCAACGGCGAACGGATCCAGCGGATCTTGGAACTCCTTAAATTTTTTTGAAGATGAAACAACAACAAATTAAATTTTTTTGCGTTGAAAATCGGAGGAACCGTTACTTACTGTCTGATCATCATCGTTTCACTGGTCGCAAATTCTCTCTTTGTTATCATCGTTTGTAAAACGCCGAACTTAAAAAAAACCGATAAATTATTTTATCGCAAACATGGCCTCATCTGATTTGCTGTATCCAATATTCGTGATGCCTTGGCGCCTGTCCAACTTGCACACCAATTACTCGTTTCTTATCGGTGGTCAGCTTGGTCAGGCCTTGTGTAAGCTTCTCCTTTTCTTTAGTAACGTTTCCATTGTCATGTTGACTCAGAATCTGATTCTGGTAGCGGTGGATCGATTTGGAGCCGTGCTATTTCCACTCCGTTTGCCACTCATCAGATCCAAGCTGTGTTCCTTCTTCATTCTTGCCACGTGGATGTTTGCCATGGTTTTTATTGCGAAAGATTTGTTGGCCTTCGCGCTCGTTGAATACCCGGAGGGAGCCAGGTGTGTACGGAGATGGAAGAAAGTATTCGGAGAATCCTCGTCCTTTGCCAGTTTGCTTCTAGCTTACAACATTCTGTTTACATACATCCCTGTGCTGTTGTTAGTCATTCTTTACTCCATCATCTTTATCAAGTTCAAGACACAAGCACACCCAGGTAAACAGTCGACCAACAATCAGCAACAACGGAAAAGAAAAAACGGAAACGTTCTTCAAATGTCCATTGCTATAGTAACAGTGTTTGTGCTTTGCTGGTTACCTTTCAGTACTAACCATTTAATGATAGCGTATCAGGATAGTTCTGCTCATTTCTCCTGTAGTTTCCAGATATACTTTGATGTAACTACTTTACGATTCACTCTGTTCATTATCGTTTCACTGGCCGCAAATTCTCTCATTGTTATGACCGTTTATAAAACGCCGAACTTAAGAAAACCGATAAATTATTTCATCGCAAACATGGCCTCATCTGATTTGCTGTTTCCAATATTCTTCACCCCTTGGACACTGACACACTTGCACACAACCTCGTTTCTTATCGGTGGTCGGCTTGGCCAGGCCTTTTGTAAGCCTGTCCCCTTCTTTGGAGAAGTTTCCTTTAAGGTTTCGATTCAGAATCTGATTCTTATAGCAGTGGTTCCATTTGGAGCCGTGGTGTTTCCACTCCGTTCACCACTCATCAGATCCAAGCTGTGTCCCTTCTTCATTCTTGCCACGTGGATAGTTGCCGTAGCTATCTCTACGCCATACTTGTTCGCCAAAGAGTTCGTTGAATCCCCAGAGAGAAACTTATGTGTTACGAAATGGAAGAAAGTATTCGGAGAGTCAACGTCCCGTACCAGTTTGCTACTAGCTTACATCATTCTGTTTACATACATCCCTGTGCTGTTGTTAGCCATTCTTTACTCCAACTTCTTTATCAAGCTCAAGACACAGGACACCCAAGTGAACAGTCCGCCAACACTCAGCAACAGCGGGAAAGAAGAAACCGAAACGTGCTTCAAATGTCCATCGCTATCATTACAGTGTTTGTGTTTTGCTGGTCACCTCTCTCTATCAACTTTTTAATCATACTGTATCAACACAGTTCCATCACGCATGTCTCGTGTAGTTTCTGGATATACTATGAAGTCACCATTTTTATCTGTTTCATGATTTGCAGTAATTACCGAAAAGCTCTTAAAGGCAGGGGGGAAGGTAACTCTATTGTTTTTCACCTAAGTTTTCTGTTTGGTCTCTATTTTAACACTATTTTTCCTTTTGGCCTTTTTTTTCTTTATTCTTACTGCTGACCGTGCTGGCGTGCTGGTCATGCACTTGGATCAACGTATATTTTAAGCTCAAGTCCGGAGTTTTATCTTGGAAGAGGGATTTAAAAGCTCTTGACCTGCATACTGGCCAAGCTTATGACCAGAGAAATACCATAAGCTGTCAAGAAATGTCCCTCCTCTAGAACAGCTGAATTTTTTTTCGACGTTAGTTGACATCATGACAATCAACACACAGTACACCACAAAATGTACTTATTTACATCCAACACCTACCCACCAGTGACCCTCAGACGAAAGTTAAACTTGCCTTTTGCACATCGTCGTAATCGTCAGTATTATTACCCTAAAATCTCCACTGGGTTTGCCGACAAAAAATAATTAAATGTAACCTTTTATTGGTTTTCGGGATTTAATTACAAAATTACAGGTGTATGCCTAATACAGCATTAAAATGCGGTAAAGCAACAAGATTCAATGCTCACAGTCTCTCACAAATACCTGTCATTTAGCTTCGTCTTTCAACGCTACAGCTAAGCAAACTTTGAGAGGAATGATATGGGGTTCCACTAGATCTGAAGAGCCGAAAATACGCACAATGTAAAGTATAATACATCCTTTGATGAACCTCCTATCGGTGTGTCTAAACTCCTCAGTCTTGCTGTGCACTGGCCCTCAAAAGTGTGACCGGTTGTTGTGACTGCCCGTAAAATTTGCTCGACGATAGAAAGGAATCTTTAAAATTTATTACAACACTGGACATTTCATTACAAAAAGGTACTTAATTCTAGTTTTCTATGACCATAGAAACTTTAAGATCTCCAAATCCAAGAAATCAGAACAGTATTTCCGTGATAAAATCGAAATTTTTATCCTTCTCTTTGATTAACACTTTGCTCGCCATTTTGAAAGTCACTGACGCGAGACGTGGCGTCATACTGGCAGGCGGACTGTACCACAGATTTCCTTGGAGACACCTCCCCCCCATCCCCCCTGCTTAAAAGATTCATAAAGTGTTCTTTTGTAAAGGCGTAGGTCGCATAGCCTGTGTACCGACGTCCCCCTTCCCTCAGAAAACAAAATCTCTTTTCCAAATTTTTGAGGGAGGGGGGACGTCTGTACACAGGCTAAGGTCGCCAAAATGTGCTTTTTGTTGATAATGTTTAGAGATAGAGGTTCGTCGAACGCGCGCCTGAATAAAAGTGATCATGACTATCAGTTTATTTTTAGTAGTATTATCGAAAAAATCTTAGAAGACTCATGAAAATTAAAAGTTCTTTTGTACAGTAGTAAGTCGCAAAAATGTGCTTTTGATAGAATACGTTGAGAGTTAGAGGTACGTGGAACACTCGTGGATAAAAAAATCACCACGACAGCCGTCGGCGCACTTTTAAACAGGGGCACCCAACGAGAATATAGTTCAAAACCACTTAAACATGGCATTGTTGAACGTATTTTAGTATTTAAACGGTAGATATAGGCATATTTTCATCCTCTAAAAATATTTCATCTGTTCGGATTTCCTAGCTGAAAGTCTAGTGATCCGAAAATTATAGAGATCAAAACTTACCTTTTCGAAAATTTCAGCCAGAAAAAAGGCTCCCGAAAATTCTAGGTGACCTTTTTAGGGTAACAATCCGTTAAAAATGGGCAATTATACGATTTTGGGGGGGTTCGAAAATCCTAGGAGAGGCAGGCAAGCAAGAAATTTTACAACTATTTCGAAATTTCTAGATACCAAATCGTCTTCCGGACAGATATTTTCCACAAATTGTCGTTGGGTGCCCCTGTTTTAAAACTGAGGATTAATGATAACATGTGTTTAGTTTAAGTCTCCCATGACTGCGAAATGTGACAGCATAGGCCACGTATTGTTAAAGGCTGGGTCGTAAATAAAACTCAGAAACGGACCATTACAAACGTCATTGGGAGCGTAGGCGGCGATATACAACTGTACAACTAACAACTGTAAATTACTGCAGAACCGCTAAGTTAAAGGAAGAGGTTCTGCCGTAAAAAGGAAACGAATAAAAGGGACAATTATAACAATCTGTTGAAATTTTTGCGCCACCCCAAGGTTTGACAGTATTTTTGCGTTGTCAAAAGAAGCAAAGAAAAAATGCATTTTCTTGTGGCACGTACGCCGTTCAGCGTCCACTACAAAATACAATTCAAAAATTTAAACAGGGAGTTTAAGAGGCAAGGTGTTGTCTTTTACACAAAATCAATTAAATGATAATGCCCCTTTGAAATGTTGTTGTCGCTTTATAAATTTTGGTCACCTATGTTTAAATACGTAAAGGGCGTATTTCTACGTGCAAATAATATGTATCACCAGAGTTTAAAATGTCCACTCAATAATTATATATACTCATATTGGTTTCCAGATATCTTTTTAATCGATTTCTAAATACAACCACCATGGCTTTAAACTGATAGCATTCTTTAGTCTGTTCAGCTTGAAAGGGTGGCCATATCAGTCTTAATAACAATTCAGGATTGAGCTCAGGCTTCGCAAGGGGACATAGAAATTTAAGTTTCAAAAATTTGGATCTTAACTGATCAATATACCAGATATACTGCGTTGTACAGAAGGCGCACAGCAAACATAAACTCGACAATGGGGAATGGATCGATCCAGTCTTGGAACTCTTTTAAACTATTTAATAAGAAGAGACAAAACTCCATTGATGATAAATTTTTAGTGTTCGCAGAAGAAAAAATTTCCCGCGCCCTTGACAACAAGATTCCCCGCTAATGAATATAACATTTCACACACCAGTGTTTAGTAAAATTTGCATTAAGCACGTATTTTTAACTACATTTTCAACAGTCTTGGAGCTGCTTCAAACAGTTTACGGAGAAAAGACAGAATTACCGACTAGTGATAAATTGAGTATGTGATTTACGCTGCAACCTCAAAGTCTGAAATAGTGATCAAAAGAAACCTTCTCTTGTCATGAATTTGTTGTAATGAAACATATATATCCTGTGTGAATAAATTACACTTTCTAGGGAAAAATACCTATCGAAAATACCGTTGGTCGTGATCTGAATTAAAAGAAAATTAATTAGCTATCCTCCTTATTTATGGTGTTTGTAGCTCGTGTACTATTTTGGAATACTATTTACTATATGGAATATCTCCTAGTTATTCTTAAGTGTATTTGTGAAGATTGACATCTACTGTTGTAACTTCTGCTGTTCAGCACGTATATTGCCTTTTTTAATTTGTCCTCCAATCACATTCGTAGTTAATAATTAATTGATACAAAAGTCTAGCCAATTATTTTCGATTAATACCTTCCGGTAGATCGACTAACTGACATGATTTTGAAACTGTAATTTTAGTACCTTCCTCTCTGTTATTGTTTAAATTTTGTTTAGAAGCCAATATTGTGTTCTCTCTCATTGCTCTCCTTGTGTTATTTCGACTGGACAACCCAAGCTTTTAAAGAGCGTCAAGGAGCAATTAGGAAAGAATTTCTTTCAGACAAAGTAAGTACCGTAAAATTCCGAAAATAAGCCCCTCCATGTATAAGCCCCTCCAAATATAAGCCCCCCAAACCGGTGACGCAAAAACTGAGCAGTCAAAGGAGTAACAAGCCCTTGTCAGAAAAACGTGCCAGTTTCTCTTTGCCGACAGCAGACTTTAGGTTTTCCCATTAATAGGTTGATCGAGAAGTAAATGTTACAAAAACTTCATGTTTTATGCACACGTGATAATATGCACTTATTTTTTCCTCATATTCACCTGTTAAGCCTGTGCTTAATGGCCTGAAGGCAGCTTCGCCTCTGCTTCCTGTGGTCAACTGTCAAACTTGTGTAGTTGATGATGGTACTACCATAGATATCATTTTTTAATGTGTTAAAACACACTTGTTTAATCATCTTCTCAATCGATTTCTTTATACAACCACCTGACCTAAATGAAGTCTTTTGGTTGGTTTATAACATACTAATACCCCACTGTTTCTGTCAAAAGGTGAGTCGGCGGATAATGCCGGAAATTTACAATACAAAGTCACTTTTTGAAGGCCTCAGAGGACAGCTGTGCTGTGGCTTCGCAGGGGGCTTACAATTGTCAATAAAAGTTCTGACTCACACAGGATACGCAATATACAGTTCAAAGTTACTTGACTGCATGTGTACGACTCTGTAGATACGTTGCAAAGCTAAGCATGAACTCAACGGCGAACGGCTCCAGCGGATCATGGACCTGCTTAAATTTTACTGTGTGGAAAATCGGAGGAACCGTTACCTACTGTCTGATCTTTATCGTTTCACTGGTCGCAAATTCTCTCATTGTTATGATCGTTTATAAAACGCCGAACTTAAGAAAACCGATAAATTTTTTCATCGCAAACATGGCCTCATCTGATCTGCTGTGGCCAATATTCTGGATACCTTGGAACCTGTCACTCTTGCACGCCAACTCGTTTTTTATCGGTGGTCAGCTTGGTCAGGCCTTGTGTAAGCTTCTCCCTTTCTTTTCTACCGTTTCCTTTACCGTTTCGATTCAGAATCTGATTCTGATAGCAGTGGATCGATTTGGAGCCGTGGTGTTTCCACTCCGTTCCCCACTCATCAGATCCAAGCTGTGTCCCTTCTTCATTCTCGCTACATGGATAGTTGCCGCAGCGGTCAGTTCGCCATACTCGTTCGCTTACGAGCTCGTTGAATACCCAGAGGGAAACTGGTGTGTTACGAAATGGAAGAAAGCATTCGGAGAGTCATCGTCCAGTTCCAGTTTCTTACTAGCTTTCTCCATTCTGCTTACGTACATACCAGTGCTGTTGCTAGTCATTCTTTACTCCATCATTGTTATCAAGCTCAAGACACAGGCACACCCAGGTGAACAGTCCGCCAACAGTCAGCAACAGCGGGACAGAAGAAACCGAAACGTGCTTCAAATGTCCATTGCTATCGTAACAGTGTTTGTGCTTTGCTTGTTACCTTACTCTATCAACGCTTTAATCATAGAGTATCAGGACACGCGTTTCTCGTGTAGTTTCTCGATATACGCTACAGTCACCTTTTTTATGGTTAGCGCGTACTGTGCTATCAACCCAGTTATCTGTTTCATGTTTAGCAGTAATTACCGAAAAGCTCTTAAAAGACTCATAAAATGTTCTTTTGTACAGGCGTAGGTCCCAAAAATGTGCTTTTGGTTGAAGATGTTAAGAGTTAGAGGTTGGTGGAACACTCGCGAATAAATGTATCATGACTACTGATCAATGTATTTTTAGCAGTAATTATCGAAAAGGTCTTAGAAGACTCATGAAATGTTGTCCTGTACAGGGGTAAGTCGCAAAAATGTGCTTTTGACTGAGTATGTTAAGATTTAGAGGTACGTGGAACACTCGCGAATAAAAAATCACCACCACTGCCGTTGGCGTACTTAACTGAGGATTAATTCTGGCATGACTGGAAAATATGGCAGCATAGGCCACGTATTGTTACTGGGTTGGGCGGTAAATGAAACTCAGGGACGGTCCATTAGAAACGTTATTGGGGGCGAAGGTAGGTGAAGTACAACTGTACAACTAACAACTCTTATAATTATTGCAGAACCGCTAAGTTTAAAAGAAGTTCTGCCGAAAAAAGGAAGGAATAAAACGGACAATTATAAACATCTGTTGAAATTTTAGCGCCACCCCAAGCTTTGACAGTAATGTTTACGTCGTCAAAAGAACTTCAGCAAAGAAAAAAACCGCATGTTTTTGTGGCACGTACGCCGTTCGCCCATTGCAAAAAAAAAATACATGAACCAAAAACGTTAAACAGGAAGTTTAAGCCATACAGGAAGTTTAAGCCATGTCGGTCTTAATAACAATTATTGTGCTAAGGCCTCGCAAGGGGACAAAAATTAAAGTTGAAAACGTTTGAAACTTAACTGATGGCCGCGATGCATATACTGCGTTGTACAGATGGCGACAGACAATGGCGAGCGATCCAGTCTTGGAACTGTTTCAAACGATTTACCAAGAAGAGACAAAACTACAATAGTGATAAACTGTTATCGTTCGTAGATGAGAAAATTTCCTGCGCTCTCGGACCACAAGACTCCCTGATGACTCTTTTACGACTTCCACGTGGGGCTAAGAGCCATATTAAAAATGTTCTTGGCCTGGCGTTGTATTTTTGCTATCTATTTGACGCAAACTCAACATACGTTTTCAAATGGGCGTTTTGAGCACATTAGAATAAACTAACAGTTCTACACTAGTGAAGAATTTAATAACAACAATAATAATAATAATAATAACTTCATAAAAAATACAATCTTGTTATTTACATATACTGTTAAGCGATGAAAATGCAAGCAACAGAGATTATAGACTTCCAAAAAAGTCCTTCGTCCGATTTCATTTGCGCGGACTATACAAAAGGGGATGCTCTTCAGTGGTTTCTGTATGATGTTGTTTAAACTTTGTTTAGAAACCAATTCCTTGTTCTCTCTCTTTGCTTTCCTTGGTTTTATATTGACTGGCCGTGAACCAAAGCTTAAAAGACAGAAAATCGATTTGACAAAGTAAATAACTCGAAGGTTCAATGTTAATGAGTTTTTCCTAGCCAATTACAAGACTTACTCAAGCATTGATATGAGTTTTAAAGCGTTTGAGTCACTCTGGTCATTATAAAAATGATTGCCACAGCGTTATCGAGCGATAAAATTGTAACCAACAATTCGTAACAATTAAAAGCAGTCAACGAAGTAACAAGCCTCGTCAAGAGAGAATCATTCTCTCTTGAACTCGTCTATTTGTTGTGTAAGAACCTGCTAGTTTCCCTTTGCCAAAAGCAGATCAGACTCCTGCTTTTAGAATTTCTCGTTTTTAGTTCCATCGAGAAGTAAATAAATAATATAAAAACTGGCTGCTTCATGCACACATGATAGCAGGCATTTATTTTTGTCGCCCCGTGTAAGGGAATCCGGATTCCGGAATCCAGGAATTTTTTCCTCGTGGAATCCGGAATCCTGGGCTTTGGAATCCGGAATCCAGCACAAGGAATCCGGAATCCTACTAAAGACTGGAATCCAGAAACCAACTTACTAAAGATCCACTCCAGATTGGATTGAGCTACTCGCTCGAAAGAAAAACCATCTATGGATATGCCTCAACGTGTTGACATACAGTGTAATATCGGCATATCTGGTGTCAAAACCATACTTCACGAGCTCCATATGAAGGTCAAGGTCACGGTCAGCGAGGGAACCCTTGCTTATGAGCGGCTGGCAGGATCACAAAATTCGGGGGTTTTCGAGGGAATACAGCGCAGCCTTTTTAAGGTATAAATTGGATTGTTGTGAATAGCTTCAACCTCTGGCTATGTTTGATTCTCTGTTGTTCACTCGCTTCGCTGAACTTAAAAATCAAAAGAGATTTGACCTGGCGTAGGACCTGAAAAGGTGCACCTGGGTTGAACCTTTTCTTGAACCTTCCTGGTCCTCCTGGTTCACAATTGAAAATAAACGTCTACTTTCAACATTTTACCAAAAAAGAAAAAAAATTCACGATCTCCTAGTCCCTAATTTGGTCCTAGTAGTTTCGGTGAGAACAGTTTCATGGTTTCGATAATCTTTATTTGAGAAATATGCTAGGTACTGTCAGAACCATACCAATCAGCTCTCACTAAAGTAATCACGTGCAAGTACGCGGTGGGTGTCTTTTTCATTCATCCCCGGCATTCGAGTGAAATCTCGCCACCTCATCGATGAGACGAGTTTGAAGTTTGTCGTCTGTTGGATTTTTGTTTTCTACGTTATTAAAAAAAAAGATTATGGGAAAGCACAAGCAAAACAAAAGGCTGAAAGAGAAAGGTACGTGTAATACTGTGTTGTGAAATTTTATACCAATTTTTAGCTGACTGATAGATCTAAACGTGCCAAAGGCAAAGCTGCATGATTTTTCGTTTGTGTCGATCTGTGGACTGTAAAGTGGCGGTAAGCAAGTCAAAAACATGAACGAAAGATTGATTTTTTTCTCAATCATAACTGAATGTGATATGAAGTTTACGTCGTCCGCGGAGAAAATATCGTATAAATGAGCGCTATATGGTTATAAAACACTAAAAACGAGCCAACGCGTCAGAAACGCTCAAGTCTATTTTGATCTCTCAGTCATCTCAGACTCGGTCGAGGAACAGACGGATTTTTCATGTTTTCTTTCTCCAGTTGTGCTCCTGAATAGGCCTCGTTCATATTGAGGTCGCTTTTGGAAATTAGACCGTTCTGAGATCAGTTTAGCCAGTAACTTTTTTTTTGTTTGAAATGGATCCTAGAGAACCCATATCATCTCAGAGACCCAGATCTCTTATTGACGAAGCCGAAGGCGAGATCTGGTCAAATCCGATTATTGCCTGTCAGGAATGTGACAGGCGATGAAAGAGCGCATGCTCGAAATAAATCCTCAATTTTCGACGTGTTAAACAGGCTGTTAAACAACGAATTTGATAGAGCCGTGACGTTTTTTTCTAACAAAACGTGGTTATATGCACATCTTAAGTATGAGCCAACTAATTTTCTGTTGTTTTTGTTCTTTTTCATTTTGACATCAAATTCAACGTGACAGTTAGTTTGAATTTCATTATCATTGTGCTCGCTAAAACCTCAAAGCAGTACGCGTCAACTTCTACGCGAGAATTTTTTACCCTCTTCAAAAGTCTTTATTGACAGGGAGAGAGAGAGTTTTAAAAAGTCTTAAAAGATAAGATAAAAATGGTTTTCCAAGTTTTATTGAGACGGAAAACTATTGCTTAGTGAACAGAACCAAAGACTTTGCAAAGAATGAATTGCACACGCCACAGCGTATGTTTATTTGGCCAGTTACTAATAAAACGAGAAACCAAGCAAACTGAGCCAAAACGACCTAAATGATCCACAACCATCAAAACTAATAGACAAAAGATCCACAACGACCCAAAACAAGTTCCACCCTCCTAGGAACGTCGGTCAAAATTGATTAAATAATAAATACACCACTGCTTTTTACATATCCGGAGCGAAGGATGATCTGTATGGTCTTTTTATACAAAACGACTTCAAAACAAAAGGATAACAGGCGACATCTGGGCGGTGCATGCATTTTTCTATCAGCATGGCTGAAAATAGAGTTCACAAAAGTCGATTAAGTGAAAAATAGAGTCCTGAAGTCAGTCTCACTCTCTACTAATCACTAACCAGCTCCGAGATCCTCCATCCCCAATTACATGGAGATTTGGATTAGATTAATCGTAGGACAAAACTTTAAATTGCGATGTCGGTGTTTCGCTACGTTTTTTTGCGGTGATGCGGTGCTTGTTATTTTTTTCGCGGTGATGTGGTGTAGAGAGCCCCCCAATGTATCCCTCATTATTATACCATAAACCCTTACGGAACTGTAATACATTTCTTTCCGTAATTTTGTAAATCGATAAAGAAAACAAACTTGTTATGCCTTCTAACAACGTCTTTCAATATAGCAAGATTCGAACACGAAAACGAAGTGCGAACAAAAGCATTAAAACCGGGAAAAAAATGGAATCCAACTCTTTTTGGAATCCGGAATCCACTGTGCTGGAATCCGGAATCCGGAATCCAGTACCCGGAATCCGGAATCCACAGCATGGAATCCAGAATCCAACACTGTCCCGGATTCCCTTACATGGGGCGATTTTTGCCTTATGGTCAGGAAACGAGCAGCGGCCTTTCAAGTTTGAATCAACCAAGAAAGTTGGAAGTTCAGGACTTATATATATACATATATTTTTTTTTTGGCTTAGCTCATAATTGAAATGGTGAACTAAAGCAGTGCTGTACATTTTTTAAATACTTAATAGTTTATGTAATTTAAGGAAGTATACATCTACATTGGAATAAGAAAACCGAACTGGTGAGAAAAAGGCCTCACTTGAACACCAGGATTACTGTGACGTAACTCCTTCAAGTGGCGCGCGAAAATTCACGGCGGTTGCCGGTTATCATTTGAAGAAATTGCGCATGATGTGAAATGATTTAAGCCATCGAGTGAAGAAAACACGGTGCAGTCATCCTACAGGTTGTTTTTATTCAAGCTGCGGTGAGTTAGACAAATTAAATGAAGTTTTCTCCGGACCGAGTTGGCTTTCCTTTTATGGTGCTGACTCTCTTTCCAGGTCTGTTCACTGTGCCCCCGATGAGAATGACAGACCTTCTGAGCAGACTAAACTGTTTAAATTAACATCAGTCTGTGTTCCTGTCTATATTAGTGAGCTCACTAAAACTTAATAACAGTGTAATATAGCTATTTATCTAGTTAGTTCTCATACCATAGCTAAATGAGTATTACCACTTACTTAATGCTATCCATTCTTATTAAAAATAACTAACGTATTTGTGGCTACTTTTCCCGCAGCTACATGTAGTTTACTCTCAATGAACTAATGTGTGGTCATTGAACTACTGCTGTGGTTATTGATCTGTTGTGTTCTTATTGAACTGCTGTGTGGTTATTGAACTAACAAAAAGGAAACCCATGGCCAAACTGGCAACTACTAGTGACAGTCCCTCCTGCGTGCTTAACTATCACGACGGCGCCGCTTTGTTATTCTTATATTATCCCGTGGTTTAACTCTTTTTGCCGTTTTAACATGTAACAGTGCAGGTATTTCGAGCTGTTAAACATTTTCTCTACCTTGTGATTATACTTTAAAGCAAAATAGGAAAGCAAATACATGGAGAGGGCTTAAAACGAATACGAAGCAATCGAGCTGCACGATTTGCAAGAGAGATGAAGAAGTTTAGCAACTTGACTACACATTAAATGTGAGGTTTTTAGTTTCTTCCTGTTTCAATGAGCCAAAATGATTATTAGTGTTTTGGTTACATGGATGATAGCAGACTGCAATTTACCTGTCAGACTTCCATCAGCCTTTTAGTTGTGCGCTCTAGCTCAATTTGAAAACGACCGATTTTTGGCTCTCGTGCAGACACTGAATTTAGGTCAAGTAAAATAGGATACTTTTAGTCCTGCCCGGGACTTTTTAACAACGTTCGTGGATGTAGGAAGTAGTCCTGTGTTGTATTGTATCGTACATAAAATAGGAGGTCGTCCATTTTTAAGGATTGTGTGATTTTCAGAAAATTGACAAAATTTGCTCGTAAAAATGGCGCCCGAGGTGGTCAAATAAAGTGATGCTCATATCTCCAATACAGGAGTGGTAAAGGACTTATGTTTGGTATATTTGTTCGTTACTCTACCTAAGCTTTCTACGATGTTAGTATGAACTAATTCTGCTGACCCCCTTCCGTTGACATTTTTAACATTTTGCCCGGTTTTCTCTGACAATTATTCTTAACTGAGGATTAATAATAAGATGTGTTTAGTTTAAATCTCCCATGAGTGCGAAATGTAACAGCATAGTCCACGTATTTGTAAAAGATTGGGTGGTAAATAAAACTTAGGGACGGACCATTAGAAACGTTATTGGGAGCGTAGGCGGCGATATACAACTGTACAACTAACAACTGTAAATTATTGCAGAACCGCTAAGTTAAAGGAAGAGATTCTGCCGTAAAAAGGAAACGAATAAAAGGGACAATTATAAACATCTGTTGAAATTTTAGCGCCACACCAAGGTTTGACAGTATTTTTGCGTCGTCAAAAGAAGCAAAGAAAAAACTGCATTTTCTTGTGGCGCGTACGCCGTTCAGCGTCCACTGCAAAATCAATTCAAAAACTTAAACAGGAAGTTTAAGTGGCAAGGTGTTGTCTTTTACACAAAATGAATTAAACGATAATGCCCTTTGAAATGTTTTCATAGACATTTTGTCGCTTTATAAATTTTGATCACCTATGTTTAAATACATAACAGGCGTATCTCTACGCGCAAATAATATGTATCACACCAGAGTTTAAAATGTCCACTCAATTATTATTATATATACTCATATTGGTTTCCAGATATCTTTTTAATCGATTTCTAAATACAACCACCATGGCTTTAAACTGATAGCATTCTTTAGTCTGTTCACCTTGAAAGGATGGCCATATCAGTCTTAATAACAATTCATGATTGTGCTCAGGCTTCGCAAGGGGACATCAAAATTTAAGTTTCAAAAATTTGGATCTTAACTGATCAATATACCAGATATACTGCGTTGTACAGAAGGCGCACAGCAAACATAAACTCGACAATGGGGAATGGATCGATCCAGTCTTGGAACTGTTTCAAACGATTTACCAAGAAGAGACAAAACTACAATAGTGATAAATTTTTAGTGTTCGTAGGTGAAAAAATCTCCCGCGCCCTTGACCACAAGACTCCCCGCTAATGAATATAACACAAAGTTCACACACCAGTTAAGTAAAATTTGCATTAAGCACGTATTTTAAACTTCATTTTCAACAGTCTTGGTGCTGCTCCAAACAGTTTATGGAGAAAAGACAGAATTACCGACTAGTGATAAATTGAGTATGTGATTTACGCTGCAACTTCAAAGTCTAAAATAGTGATCAAAAGAAACCTTCTCTTGTCATGAACTTGTTGTAATGAAACATATATATCTTGTGTGAATAAATTACACTTTCTAGGGAAAAATGCCCATCGAAAATATCTTTGGTCGTGATCTGAATTAAAGGACATTAATTATCTATCCTCCTTATTTATGGTGTTTGTAGCTAGTACACTATTTTTTCCTTTTTATCGATCAATAAGCAGTTGATGATTTTTAAACAAAGATATACGAATAATAATAATTGTATGGAATATCTCCTAGTTATTCTTAAGTGTATTTGTTAAGATTGACATCTACTGTTGTAACTTCTGCTGTTCAGCACGTATATTGCCTTTTTTAATTTGTCCTCCAATAACATTCGTAGTTAATAATTAATTGATGCAAAAGTCTAGTTAGTCTAGATCGACTAACTGACATGATTTTGAAACTGTAATTTTAGTACCTTCCTCCCTGTTATTGTTTAAATTTTGTTTAGGAGCCAATATTGTGTTCTCTCTCATTGCTCCCCTTGTGTTATTTCGACTGGACAACCCAAGCTTTTAAAGAGCTTCAAGGAGCAATTAAGAAAGAATTTCTTTCAGACAGAGCAAATACCGTAAAATTCCGAAAATAAGCCCCTCCATGTATAAGCTCCTCCAAATATAAGCCCCCCAAACCGGTGACGCAAAAACTGGGCAGTCAAAGGAGTAACATGCCCTTGTCAGAAAAACGTGCCAGTTTCTCTTTGCCGACAGCAGACGTTTGGTTTTCCCATTAATAGGTTGATTTAGAAGTAAATGTTATAAAAACTTCATGTTTTATGCACACGTGATAATATGCACTTATTTTTTCCTCATATTCACCTGTGAAGCCTGGGCTTAATGGCCTGAAGGCAGCTTCGCCTCTGCTTTTTGTGGTGAACTGTCGAACTTGTGTAGTTAATGATGAGACTACCAAAGATATCATTTTTTAATGTGTTAAAACACACTTGTTTAATCAGTCTCAATCGATTTCTTAATACAACCACATGACTTAAATGAAGTGTTCTGGATGGTTTATAACATTTTAATACCCCACTGTTTCAATTCTGTCAAAAGGTCAGTTGGCGGATAATGCCGGAACATTACAAACAAACTCACTTTTTGAAGGTCTCAGAGGACAGCTGTGCTGTGGCTTCGCAGGGGGCTTGCAATTATCAATAAAAGTTCTGCCACTCAAACAGCATACGCAATTTATAAATACAGAGCAGTAATTCAAAGTTACTTGACTGCATGTGTACGACTCTGTAGATAAGTCGCAAAACTTAGCATGAACTCAACGGCGAACGGATTCAGCAGATCTTGGAGCTGCTTAAATTTTTCTGCGTTGAAAATCGGAGGAACCGTTTCCTACTGTCTGATCTTCATCGTTTCCCTGGTCGCAAATTCTCTCATTGTTATGATCGTTTATAAAATGCCGAACTTAAGAAAACCGATAAATTTTTTCATCGCAAACATGGCCTCATCTGATCTGCTGTATCCAATATTCTGGATACCTTGGTACCTGTCACACTTGCACACCAACTCGTTTCCTATTGGTGGAAAGGTTGGTCTGGCCTTGTGTAAGCTTGTCCCTTTCTTTAGTGACGTTTCCTTTGTCGTTTCGATTCAGAATCTGATTCTGATAGCAGTGGATCGATTTGGAGCCGTTGTATTTCCACTCCGTTCCCCACTCATCAGATCCAAACTGTGTCCCTCCTTCATTCTCGCTACATGGATAGTTGCCGTAGCGGTCAATTCGCCATACTTATTCACCCGCGAGCTCGTTGAATACCCAGAGGGAACCTGGTGTGTTATTGAATGGAAGAAAGCATTCGGAGAGTCATCATCCCATGCCAGTTTCTTACTAGCTTACCAGATTCTGTTTAAATGCATACCTGTGCTGTTGCTAGTTATTCTTCACTCCATCATTGTTATCAAGCTCAAGACACAGGCACACCCAGGTGAACAGTCCGCCAACAGTCAGCAACAGCGGGACAGAAGAAACAGAAACGTGCTTCAAATGTCCATTGCTATCGTAACAGTGTTTGCGTTTTGCTGGTTACCTTACTCTTTGAACTATTTAATCACACGGTATCAGGACACTTTCACGCATTTATCGTGTAGTTTCTGGATAAACTATGAAGTCACCTTTTTATACGGCTAGCGCGTACTCCGCTATCAACCCAGTTATCTGTTTCATGTTTAGCAGTAATTACCGAAAAGCTCTTAAAAGACTCATAAAATGTTCTTTTGTACAGGCGTAGGTTGCAAAAAATGTGGTTTTGGTTGAAGAGTTAAGCCTGCGAGGTTCGTGGAACACTCGCGAATAAATGTATCATGACTATCAATCTATTTTTAGTAGTAATTATCGAAAAGTTCTAAGAAGACTCATGAAATGTTCTCTTGTACAGGAGTAAGTCGTAAAAATGTGCTTTTGACTGAATATGTTAAGATTTAGAGGTACACGTGGAACACTCGTGAATAAAAAATCACCACGACTGCTGTTGGTGTACTTAACTGAGGATTAAGTTTTGACTGCGAAATGTGACAGCATAGGCCACGTATTGTTAAAGGTTGGGCGGTAAATAAAACTCAGGGACGGACCATTAGAAACTTTATTAGGGGCGTAGGAAGGTGATGTACAACTGTACAACTAACAACTCTTAATTACTGCAGAACCGCTAAGTTATAGAAGAGGTTCTACCGAAAAAAAGGAAGGTATAAAAGCTACAATTATAAACATCTGTTGAAATTTTAGCGCCACCCCAAGCTTTGACAGTAATGTTTACGTCGTCAAAAGAACTTGAGCAAAGAAAAAAACCGCATGTTTTTGTGGCATGTACGCCGTTCGCCCATTGCAAAAAAAAAAAAATACATAAACCAAAAAGTTAAACAGGAAATTTAAGCCAAACAGGAAGTTTAAGCCATGTCGGTCTTAATAACAATTATTGTGCCAAGGCCTCGCAAGGGGACAAAAATTAAAGTTTTAAACGTTTGAAACTTAACTGATGGCCGCGATGCATATACTGCGTTGTCTGCGTTGTACATGAAGGCGGCAGACAATGGAGGGCGATCCAGTCTTGGGACTGTTTCAAACGATTTAGCAAGAAGAGACAAAACTATAATAGTGATAAAATGTTATCGTTCGTAGATGAGAAAATTTCCTGCGCTCTTGACCACAAAACTCCCTGATGACTCTTTTACACTTCCACGTGGGGCTAAGAGCCACATTAAAAATGTTCTTGGCCTGGCGTTTTATTTTTGCTATCTATTTGACGCAAACTCAACATACGCTTTCAAATGGGCGTTTTGAACACATTAGAATAAACTAACAGCTCTACACTAGTGAGAATTTAATAATAATAATGATGATGATGATGATGATGATAATAACTTCATAAAAAATACAATCCTGGTATTTACATATACTGTTAAGCGATGAAAATGCAAGCAACAGACTTCCAAAAAAGTCCTTCGTCCGATTTCATTTGCGCGGCCTATACAAAAGGGGATGCTCTTCAGAGGTTACTGTATGATATTGTTTAAATTTTGTTTAGAAACCAATTCTTTGTTCTCTCTCTTTGCTTTCCTTGGTTTTATATTGACTGGACAACCCAAACTTGAAAGTGAAATTTAAGACAGAAAATCGATTTGACAAAGTAAATAACTCGAAGGTTCAATGTTAATGAGTTTTTCCTAGCCAATTACAAGACTTACTCAAGCATTGATATGAGTTTTAAAGCGTTTGAGTCACTCTGGTCATTATAAATTCATGATTGCTACAGCGTTATCGAGCAATAAAATTGTAACCAACAATTCTTAACAATAAAAAGCAGTCAAAGAAGGAACAAGCCTCGTCTATTTGTTGAGTAAGAACCTGCTAGTTTCCCTTTGCCCGACAGCAGACTCCTGCTTTTCGAATTTCCCGTTTTTAGTTCGATCGAGAAGTAAATGATATAAACACTGGCTGCTTCATGCACACATGATAGCAGGCATTTATTTTTGCTTCATATTTTCCTGTTAAGCCTGTTAATTGCTTAACGGCAGGCAGCTTCTACCCTGCTTCCTGTGTTTACCTGCCAAATTGTGTACTTTATGATCGCATTGCTAACGATAACATTTCACACACCTGTTTAAAAATGGTGTTAAGCACGTATGTTCGATTATCTTTTCCGAGAATCGTTTCAGTCTCACCGTAGCTGTAGCTACATGACAGGTCTATGCATTTCTCGTGCAGTTTTTGGCTATACTTTGATGTCACCATGTATATGTCTAACGCGTACTGTGCTATCAACCCGATTTTTTTTTGTTTATATCCAGGGCTCGGGGGTTCATATTTAGCAGTAATTGATTACCAAAAAGTTCTTAAAAGACTCATAAAATGTTCTTTTGTACGGGCGTAGATCGCAAAAATGTGCTCAGTTTGGCTCGCAAATATATCGTATATCATGACTATCAGTGTACTCCAGCACTCTGAGAAGGTTTTAATATATGAGTGCGAGAAATGACAGTATAGGCGACGTATTGTAAGAGTTTGGGATAAAACTCGGCCGCGGACCGTTAGAAACGTTATAGGGGGGTGGGCAGGAGAAGTACAAAAGTATTCGTTCACGCAAGGGAAAATTTTTTAACTGAAAATTTAAGGGAAATGTTGACGATAAAAATTCGAATAATGATGATGGTATGAAATATCTCCCACTAACTCTTCGCTGTCTGTCTATTGTTGAAACTTCTGCTGTTCAGCACGTATTGCATTTTTAATTTGTAATCACACATTCATAAATAATTTATTGCAAAGTTTAGCCAATAAAAAAAGCTGAACACATCGGTTCGGTGGATCGACTAACTGATCTGACATGATTTTCAAACTGTTATTTTAGTACCTTCCTCACTCTCGTTGCTTAAATTCTGTTTAGAAGCCAATACTTTGTTCTCTCCCTTTGCTCTCCTCAGTTTATATTGACTGGACAACCCAACCTTAACCCCCTGTAAGGTGATATTTAAAACAGGAAATCTTTGTCACCAAGTAAATGACTCGAATTTTCCATATAATGCTAATAAGCCTCTCCTATAGCCAATCACAAACACTTCTCAGGCATTGATATGAGTTAAGCGGGGGAGTGGTTTCTTGTCAAGTACCACATGTAATGGTAGTACCGGCAGAAGTTCGTAAAGTCCATGGGAGTAAAAGAAATTAAATAACAAGCCTTGTATTTTTGTTGAGGAAGAACCCATTAGTTTAGTCGAGACTCTTGGTTTCATAATTTCCCTTTTTTTGTCCGCTTGAAAAGCAAATGTTATAAAAACTTCATGTTTTATGCATAGTTGATGAATATGCACTTATTTTTACCTCATATTTACCTGCTAAGCCTGTGCTTAATTGCTTGACAGAACTGATGCAATTGCAGGTGTTGCATCGAGGACCCTGACACGCGCGTGAACAAGGCTGCTCAACTAAGAGACGCGTCATCTGTGGAACGGGCCAACTGACGTCGCGCTTGTAAGCCACAAGAGGTGGTTGCATGAGGAAGGACACATCGAGTTTGCTCATCCATTGATTAGAATAGGGTACGAAAGTTCTGTAACAGAAATCGTTTGACCTTGATGTTAAACCGGCGGTATATGGGAACAAGGCGTCTATCAACGTTACATCACGCTTTTTAGGACGGGCGCAGCGCGTCATGACGGCTATTGGTTGTACTGATATGAGTTACGCCGGTGGGTTTTCATGTCATTCTCAAGATAAAATGCCACAACATTATCGAGAGACAAGAACTGTGGTCAACAAATACTGAGGGCTGTAACATTAAAAGAAAAGAAGAAAGAAACACGTACGCCTGGTCTTTTTGTTTAAGGAACCTTCTACCTTTAAGGAACCTCCTATTTTAAGTTCGATCGAGAAGTAAATGCATAAAAACTGCATGTTTTATGCACACGTGATAACATGCATTTATAGTTTTGCCTCAAATTCCTGTTTAGCCTGGGCTTTTATGGCTTTAAGTCAGCTACGCCCCTCAGTGCTTCATGTATGCTATCAAATAGTGTAGCTGATGATCCAATATGCGTATTTTCAAATTGCCTCATCAACTAACAACACTTGCATTTGTTAATGGAAAGAATAATGGCTTTACAATAATTGACAAGAAAAACACATTTTAGTATATTTAATCGATTTTGTCTAGTTTTAGCCAGGGGGAAAATTTTGTCGGCGGCGCTTTTGAAGGTTGTCCCATCTCAGGTAAAATTTAAAAAATGTGCGACAAACCATCCGCATCATTTATTAGGCGTTGATGATGACAGGATATTCCGCTATTCATAAGCTCTCTTTACATTTTCGCCGAAAGCATATTAGTTTTGAAAATTAGGTTGTTACATAAATGACGATAAACTCAGTCCTTTCTCTTTAAAATGACTCCCGTCATTAAACGCGCCTCTTGGAACTCTAAAAGTAGTAATCGCTATTATATATAAATGAAGTGTCACAACGTTATTAACGTTATCGCAAAAAAAGAGCTGTAGCCAAAAAATAGTGAAGTTTGTAACAACTAAAACTGAGCAGTCAAAGGAGTCTGAACAAGCCCTTGTCAGAAGAACCTGCTAGTTTCTCTTTGCCGACACCAGACTTTTGGTTTTCCCATTTTTAGCTCGATCGAGAAGTAAATGTTATAAAAACTTCATTTTTTTTTGTGAACAGTGATAATATGCACTTATTTTTCCCTCATATTCACCTGTTAAACTTGGGTTTATTAAATGGCCTGAAGGCATCTTCGCCTCTGCTTCCTGTGGTTAACTGTCAAACTTGTGTAGTTGATGATGGTACTACCGGACTAAAGATATCACTTTTTAATGTGTTAAAACACACTTGTTTAATCAACATGTAAATAGCAAAATTAGGTCTTCCAGAGCAAAGTGCTTTTGATCACATGTAAATTAAGCACTGTCGAAATAATGTACAGTCGAACCTCTCCTTACGGACACCTCTATAATACGGACACCTTTCTATTACGGACAGTTCTTTTGGTCCCAGAAATGCCAAAATTCCTACATTCCCTACCTCTATAATAGTACGGACACCTCTGTAAAGCGGACACTTGGTTCTGTCCCTTTGGTGTCCGTATTAAAGAGATTTGATTGTATTGTCATTACTGTTACTCGTGTATAGGAAAAGAAAGGCAGATAATTTGTCAGTAAACAGTTTAAAAAGTTTTTGAACAGCCAGGGGCCAACAAAGAGCCATGCACATGCAAACTGCGTCCAATCTAAGTCATAATTTATGACATAGCAATATTTTCATTACTGCAAATAGTGTCGTCCATTAACAACCACACCGAGATATAACTGTGAAAACTAGTACATCTCATCTAGCTGGTTTACGGGTCGCGGATAGGTTAATATTCCACTGAAAAGTCAAATAGTGTCAAATGTTTTTAGGAAACAGACGTTTCGCGTATATAACTCTTCTTCAGTATCAAGAAAACCGTTATTATTACGCCTCCTGGCAATTGTCATAGACATTTGGGTGTGTTCCTTTCGGTGAATCCAAAAACGGATTTTAGATCTAAGAACGGATTTCGCGTTCCTTTCGGCAAAGGCAAATCCGGATTTTTGATCTGGTGAATCCTTTTTGAAAAAGGATTCATTGGATTTGAAATCCGTAGAATCGAAATCCAGGTTAACGGATTATATAGTGATCTAAGCTGTTCCATTCACAGTGGATCCGAAATTAGTCAGATGATCCAGCGGTATTTCTAGTTGAAGTATTCCCATAGAGGTCGTAGAGTTTCCTCAGCTCGTTGCTGTCATTTGCCGCAAAACATCTGAAAACATTGGAAGATTGTTCCTGGTACATTAAAATATCCATATACTAACCATTTGTCTCTAAAGATTGCTTGAAATCAGAAACAAGTAAAAGTAACAAATGAACTGCTATCTAACTACAAACTCGCTTGTAGACGCGACAGGCACTCGATCGTGTTACATAAAAAAAATCCGAGCTATGGAACTGGATCAAACTGGCCGACATTCTTTAGATAATTTTCAATTTTAATGCGCTTCTTTCTTTGTCTGTTTTATATGTTCCATTGTCGCTATTCGAACTGCCGACCACTAAATTCAGCACGGTATAATCGCATAATTTGGTCAAACAGTAGAAGACACGTCATTTGTTGAGAGGCTGTCGTGCATATTGCACGCGTTGGCAAAAGGTTACTAAGGTTACAAATCCAATTTCGGATTTCACGTTCCTTTCGACTGCGAAATCTGGCAAATCTAGGATCAAAAATCCGTTTTTGGATTCGCCGAAAGGAACACACCCAAAATGAGGCGCGTGCGCGTGTAAATATAAGCGAGCGCAGCTGAAATTGATATTTAGTCCCTTAGGTTTGAACGGTTCCTAGCTGCAAAAAAACCCTCATTTCACGCTGCTTCGGTTGGATATCGGTTCCACTGCATAGAGCCATCCCACCACGCACCTGGACATCGGAAATACTGTGGCCCGTTGAGTTGAAATGTTGCGCCACAGGAAGCTCAGGAGTGTTGTTGGGCATGCGTATACTTCGCAAACGTTCGCCAAAGCGACTCCTGAGGTTTCGTTCAGTTTCACCAATGTAAAGAACTGGGCATCGGCGGCAGGATATGCAGTAAACAAGATTCCCTGATTGGCTAGAATGTGAAAGTTCTGTAGTAGAAATCCTTTGACTTTGTTTTAGAACTTCCTATTTTAAGTTCGATCGAGAAGTAAATGAAAGAAAAACTGCATATTTTATGCATATTTTATGCATTATTTTATGCATGCATTATGTCCGCGGCGCCTTTAAAGACTTCCCTTTTTTCAAAAAAGCGCTACGAACCATCCGAATCATTTGTTTGGCGTTGATGATGACAGAAAATTTATCTCAATTAATAAACAACTTTTTCGCTATTGAAAAAATCAGGCCCTATCTTTTTAATCGATTTGTTACTACTCTGGTTGGCTTAAAGTGAGTTGATAACTGACACCATTATACAAATTCACTTTTAGCAGCTGTGCTGAGGCTTCGCAGGGGACTTACAATTGCCAATAAAAGTTCTGAATCAAACAGGATACGCAATATAGAGAGCAGTAATTCAAAGTTGTTTGACTGAATACGTACAATTCCACAGATACGTCGCAAACCTAAGCATGAACTCAACGGTGAACGGATCCAGCGAATCTTGGAGCTGCTTCCTAAATTTTTCTGCGTTGAAAATCGGAGGAACCGTTTCCTACTGTCTGATCTTCATCGTTTCCCTGGTCGCAAATTCTCTCATTGTTATGATCGTTTATAAAACGCCGAACTTAAGAAAACCGATAAATTTTTTCATCGCAAACATGGCCTCATCTGATCTGCTGTATCCAATATTCTGGATACCTTGGTACCTGTCACACTTGCACACCAACTCGTTTCCTATTGGTGGAAAGGTTGGTCAGGCCTTGTGTAAGCTTGTCCCTTTCTTTAGTGACGTTTCCTTTGTCGTTTCGATTCAGAATCTGATTCTGATAGCAGTGGATCGATTTGGAGCCGTGGTATTTCCACTCCGTTCACCACTCATCGGATCCAAGCTGTGTCCCTTCTTCATTCTCGCTACATGGATTGTTGCCGTAGCGGTCAATTCGCCTTACTTGTTCACTTTCGAGCTCGTTGAATACCTAGAGGGAACCGGGTGTGTTATTGAATGGGAGAAAGCATTCGGAGAGTCATCGTCCTTTGAAAGTTTCTTACTAGCTTACATCAGTCTGTTTATATACATACCCGTGCTGTTGCTAGTCATTCTTTACTCCATCATTGTTATCAAGCTCAAGACACAGGTACACCCAGGTGAACAGTCCGCCAACAGTCAGCAACAGCGGGACAGAAGAAACAGAAACGTGCTTCATATGTCCATTGCTATCGTAACAGTGTTTGCGTTTTGCTGGTTACCTTACTCTTTGAACTATTTAATCACACGGTATCAGGACACTTTCACGCAATTATCGTGTAGTTTCTGGATAAACTATGAAGTCACCTTTTATACGGCTAGCGCGTACTCCGCTATCAACCCAGTTATCTGTTTCATGTTTAGCAGTAATTACCGAAAAGCTCTTAAAAGACTCATAAAATGTTCTTTTGTACAGGCGTAGGTTGCAAAAAATGTGGTTTTGGTTGAAGAGTTAAGCCTGCGAGGTTCGTGGAACACTCGCGAATAAATGTATCATGACTATCAATCTATTTTTAGTAGTAATTATCGAAAAGTTCTAAGAAGACTCATGAAATGTTCTCTTGTACAGGAGTAAGTCGTAAAAATGTGCTTTTGACTGAATATGTTAAGATTTAGAGGTATACGTGGAACACTCGTGAATAAAAAATCACCACGACTGCTGTTGGTGTACTTAACTGAGGATTAAGTTTTGACTGCGAAATGTGACAGCATAGGCCACGTATTGTTAAAGGTTGGGCGGTAAATAAAACTCAGGGACGGACCATTAGAAACTTTATTAGGGGCGTAGGAAGGTGATGTACAACTGTACAACTAACAACTCTTAATTACTGCAGAACCGCTAAGTTATAGAAGAGGTTCTACCGAAAAAAAGGAAGGAATAAAAGCTACAATTATAAACATCTGTTGAAATTTTAGCGCCACCCCAAGCTTTGACAGTAATGTTTACGTCGTCAAAAGAACTTGAGCAAAGAAAAAAACCGCATGTTTTTGTGGCATGTACGCCGTTCGCCCATTGCAAAAAAAAAAAAAATACATAAACCAAAAAGTTAAACAGGAAATTTAAGCCAAACAGGAAGTTTAAGCCATGTCGGTCTTAATAACAATTATTGTGCTAAGGCCTCGCAAGGGGACAAAAATTAAAGTTTTAAACGTTTGAAACTTAACTGATGGCCGCGATGCATATACTGCGTTGTCTGCGTTGTACAGAAGGCGGCAGACAATGGAGGGCGATCCAGTCTTGGGACTGTTTCAAACGATTTAGCAAGAAGAGACAAAACTATAATAGTGATAAACTGTTATCGTTCGTAGATGAGAAAATTTCCTGCGCTCTTGACCACAAAACTCCCTGATGACTCTTTTACACTTCCACGTGGGGCTAAGAGCCACATTAAAAATGTTCTTGGCCTGGCGTTTTATTTTTGCTATCTATTTGACGCAAACTCAACATACGCTTTCAAATGGGCGTTTTGAACACATTAGAATAAACTAACAGCTCTACACTAGTGAGAATTTAATAATAATAATAATGATGATGATGATGATGATAATAACTTCATAAAAAATACAATCCTGGCATTTACATATACTGTTAAGCGATGAAAATGTAAGCAACAGAGGTTATAGACTTCCAAAAAAGTCCTTCGTCCGATTTCATTTGCGCGGCCTATACAAAAGGGGATAATCTTCAGTGGTTACTGTATGATATTGTTTAAACTTTGTTTAGAAACCAATTCCTTGTTCTCTCTCTTTGCTTTCCTTGGTTTTATATTGACTGGACAACCCAAGCTTGAAAGTGAAATTTAAGACAGAAAATCGATTTGACAAAGTAAATAACTCGAAGGTTCAATGTTAATGAGTTTCTCCTAGCCAATTACAAGACTTACTCAAGCATTGATATGAGTTTTAAAGCGTTTGAGTCACTCTGGTCATTATAAATTATGATTGCTACAGCGTTATCGAGCGATAAAACTGTAACCAACAATTCGTAACAATTAAAAGCAGTCAAAGAAGGAACAAGCCTCGTCTATTTGTTGAGTAAGAACCTGCTGGTTTCCCTTTGCCGACAGCAGACTCCTGCTTTTAGAATTTCCCGTTTTTAGTTCGATCGAGAAGTAAATGATATAAAAACTGGCTGCTTCATGCACACATGATAGCAGGCATTTATTGCCTCATATTTTCCTGTTAATTCTGTTAACTGCTTAACGGCAGGCAGCTTCTACCCTGCTTCCTGTGTTTACATGCCAAATTGTGTGTTTACTTTATGATCGTATTGCTAACGATAACAGTTCACACGCCTGTTTGAAAGTGGTATTAAGCACGTATTTTCGATTATCTTTACCGAGAATCGTTTTCTCACCGTAGCTACATGACAGGTTTATGCATTTCTCGTGCAGTTTTTGGCTATACTTTGATGTCACCATGTTGATGTCTAACGCGCACTGTGCTATCAACCCGATTTTCTCTTTCATTTTTGGCGGTAGTTGATTACCAAAAAGCTCGACTTATAAGACTCATAAAATGTTCTTTTGTACGGGCGTAGGTCGCAAAAATGTGCTTTTTGTTGATGATGTTAAGAGTTAGAGGTTCGTGGAACATACGCGTGAATAAATGTATAATCACTAACCGTGTATTTTTAGTAGTAATTATCGAAAAGGTCTTAAAAGACTCATGAAATGTTCTTTTGTACAGGCGTAGGTCGCAAAAATGTACTTTTTGCTGATGATGTTAAGAGTTAGAGGTTCGTGGAATAAGCGCGTGAATAAATGTATCATGACTATCAGTGTATTTTAGTAGTAATTATCGAAAAAATCTTAGAAGACTCATGAAATGTTCTTTTAATTTGTACAGGCGTAAGTCGCAAAAATGTGCTTTTGATTGAATATGTTAAGGAACATTCGTGAATAAAAAATCACCACGACTGCCGTCGGCGCACTTAACTGAGGAGTTTAAATAAGATGTGTTTAGTTTAAGTCTCCCATGACGGCGAAAAGTGACAGCATAGGCCATGTATTGTAAAAGGTTCGGTGGTAAATAAAACTCAGGGACGGATCATTAGAAACGTTATTGGGGGTTGTACTGCTGGCGAAGTACAACTGTACAACTAACAACTGTTAATTTCTGTGGAACCGCTAAGTTAAGGGAAGAGGTTCTGCCGCAAAAAATAAACGAATAAAAGGGACAATTATAAACATCTGTTGAATCTTGAGCGCTACCCCGGCTATCGCGTGACAGTATTTTTGCGTCGTCAAATTAAAAGAAGCAAAGAAAAAAGCTGCACGTGTTTGTGGCACGTACGCCGTTCGCCCACTGCATAAAATACAATCTATAAAGTTAAACAGGAAAGTTAAGCGGCAAGGTGTTGTCTTTTACACAAAATCAATTAAATGATATTGCCCCTTTGAAATGTTTTTATATAGACATGTTGTCGCTTTATAAATTTTGATCACCTGACCTATGTTTAAATACTTAATGGGTGTATATCTACATGCAAATAATATGTATCACACCAGTTTAAAATGTCCACTCTTATTGGTTTCCAAATATCTTTCCAATTGATTTCTAAATACAACCACCATGGCATTAAAATAGCATTCGTTAGTCTGCTCAGCAAAAAGGACGGCCATATCGGTCTTTTATATAGAGTCCCGTTTTTTGTACAGTCTTTCCAAATCGGTCTTCATATAGGTCCATAATTGTTATTAAAATAACAATTATTGTGCTCAAGCTTCGCAAGGGGAAATGAAAATTAAAGTTTGAAAAGTTTGAATTTTAACTGATCGCCGCGATGAATACTGCGTTGTACAGAAGGCGTGCAGCAAACATAAACTCGAGAATGCGGAATGGATCGACCCAGTCTTGGAGCTGCTTCAAACAGTTTAAAGAGAAACTACAGAACTACAATGGTGAAATTGTTATACTGTTCGTAGATGAAAAAATTTCTTGCGCTCTTGATCACAAGACTCCCTGATCACTCTTTCTCAGCCGCAAAGTTACACTTCCTCGTGGGGCTAGGAGCCACATTAAAAATGTTCTTGGCTTGGTGTTGTATTTTTACTATCTATTTGACACAAATTCAACATACTTTTTGAATATGGGTATTTTCAAATTGGCACTTATAATAAGCGCATTTCCAACTATAGTCCTATCTGCATTTAATGTTTTTGTGGCACGCACGCCGTTCGCCCACTGCAAAAAATACAATCCAAAAAGTTAAACAGGAAAGTTAAGCGGCAAGGTGTTGTCTTTTACACAAAATCAATTAAACTATATTGCCCCTTTGAAATGTTTTTATAGACGTTTTGTCGCTTTATTAATTTTGATCACCTGACCTATGTTTAAATACATAATGGGTGTATTTTTATATGCAAATAATATGTATCACACCAGTTTAAAATGTCCACTCTTATTGGTTTCCAAATATCTTTCCAATCGATTTCTAAATACAACCACCATGGCATTAAAATAGCATTCGTTAGTCTGCTCAGCAAAAAGGACGGACATATCGGTCCTTTGATATAGAGTTCCTCTTTTTATACAGTCTTTCCATATCGGTCTTTCAATAACTGTTATTAAAATAACAGTTATTGGGCTCAGGCTTCGCAAGGGGACATGAAAGTTAAAGTTTGAAAAGTTTGAATTTTAACTAATCGCCGCGATGAATACTGTGTTGTACAGAAGGCGCGCAGCAAACATAAACTCGAGAGTGGAGAATGGATGGACCCAGCCTTGGAGCTGCTTCAAACAGTTTAAAGAGAAACTACAGAACTACAATGGTGAAATTGTTATACTGTTCGTAGATGAAAAAAATGTCTTGCGCTCTTGATCACAAGACTCCCTGATCACTCTTCCTCAGCCGCAAAGTTACACTTCCTCGTGGGACTAGGAGCCACATTAAATATGTTCTTGGCCTGGCGTTGTATTTTTACCATCTATATGACACAAATTCAAGATACGTTTTGAATATGCGTATTTTCAAATTGGCACTTACAATAAGCGCATTTCCAACTATAGTCCTATTTGCATTTAATAGCAGTGGGTGATATTTTTTAACTCTTATTAAACCGGTTACAACTAACAACACTTGCATTTCTTATGGAAAGAATAATGGCTTTACAATAATTAACA